TTAAGCAGAATAATTTTTTTAGGTAGAAAAAACCCCGTAACAATGTTACATAAATAGTGATGTGATGTAGGGTACCTGTTGAAACAAAAACCAACATTCTACCCAAGCTTTGTTTTTGTTTGCTTTGAGCCTTGCAGGTTGTTTTGACTAAATCCCTTCCTGACCTCAGGAGGATTAAATACTGCTAATGGGATCTTTCTGGGGATGTTCAGTTCAATATTTTGTGTGATGGTAACATGAGCACCCTTGGCCTGAGGGGTTGGGTCTGTGGGAGCCTGGCAAAGCCACAGCAGCAGGGTAGGACAGGTGCAGTTGCTCAGTAATTTAGTTTATTTACAAAACATGGATAAAGACACTCCTGTCTCTGTGGGAGCATTAGAATTCCTCACCTGGAGATCCAGGACCTATTTGTAAGAAAAAGACAAACCAGGAGTTAACACAGGCACCCAGCTCTGTGCTCAGAGCAGGGATCATTTTGGTCCTCTCAAGCAACCAAAGTTCCACGGAGGTGAGGCTGATAATTTGTGTTCCCAGGACTCCTTGTGGAGCTCTAACCACTGATGACAGCCTGGAGCATCCTTGGGCTGTTACAGGCCACTGCTGGCAGTTTCAGCTCATAAATGTGTTAATGCTGACTCTGGGGCATGGTCCTGACTCCTCTAGAAATGCTTAATAAATAGAGGAGGATGCTCTTAAAGAGATTAACAACCATGTTTGATAGTTGATATTTTATATTCTCTTTTTCTTTTACTCTTCCACTGTGCAACAGCTTCTTTTTTTTTTTTTTTGTGTTTTAACACACTATTACAACAGCCAGTAGCCAGTTTTTTCTTTTCTTACCTAAAGCTAACCTGGCATTTTGTTTCTGAGTTTAAGTACAAGATATGAATTTGACCTTAACCTTTTTGCTTGCACTCTGGTCACATACTAATTGCAGTTAATTAATCTGTCATTAAAAATTGCTTTGCCCTCACCCTTGAAAGTGCAGAGCCCATTTCCATGTGCCCAGTCCATTATGAATGGCTCCATCTGTACAAGAAGACAGCATTTTTGTTATTTTTTTATCCTATCTCAAACCCTATCACAAAAGCCAACTGCTTGTTTAGACTCACATCTTTATCTCCAGGTGGCTCTTTTTGACTTGGTTGGTTTGAAGCACAAATGATAAATCTAATCTGGCTTCACTGGCTGAGTAAGTATCTCTTCACACTGGTTGCTCAGAAAAAAAAAAAAAAATCACTGCAGAAGAAAGGAGGAAAATTTTCTCTAACAGTTTCTCAGCATTCAGTGACAGGTGGGGAGAAAGGAGCAGCATCCCTCTGCATCTCAGGCCTTCTTGGGACACTTTCCCATGACAATGGTCTGACACTTCATGTGTTACTTAAACCACTTGTCTGAGTGCCCAGCATTCAGCTCAGCTGGGTTTGTACCCAGAGGAGCAAGGGCTGTTTCATTCCACGTGTCTAAGTGCCATCCTCAGGGGAATTCTCTCTTTCTCCACTGTCTGTATTGGAAGCATAAATAATGGATCCAATACATGGATGGGGCTTGGAGCAACCTGGTCCAGTGGAAGGGTCCCTGTCCATGGCAGGGGGTTGGAATGAGATGAACTTAAAGGTCTCTTCCAACCCAAACCATTCAGTGATTCTGTGATAATTGGCCAAGACTAGGTGTGAGTGTTTCAGGGGAGGTGCCTCCCCCCTTGCATGGACTCTGGCACGTGGATTTGCCTTTGGGTGTGCATTATATCCTCCCTCCCATCCAGAATCTGGGAGCAAGGATCCCTCTGCCATTCCAGGTGGAACCATGGTAGGTTGGCAAATAGTGAATTTCGAGAAAAGTGCAACTCCATGGCACAGCTTTCCAGTGTTTCTCCTGTTTTCCCAGGAGGGTTCAGTGAGCCAGAGGGTCAGTTTGATGAGAAGGGTATGATGGTCAGCAGTCCAGGCTGCTGCAGTTTGTGATTGAGTTCATCCATCCTGGCTCTGCTGTTTCATAAAACTGTGTCATTCAGCTCATTTTATAACCTGACCAAACCCCATCATTAAACTGGTGGAGAGGTGTTGTAGCTACTGCTTCAATAACGAGAGGCTCTTCCAGAAATCCTCTGCATTGTTCTCATTCTCATCTCCAAATCATTCATCATGATCATGCTCTTCCTGGCAGTGCTTTCATTCCCCTTTCATTGGGAGTTCTCTCTTTCTCCAGTTCTATTTTTGTTTCATTACGTTCTGTCTGACCCCTACTAAGTGTAAAAACATTATTTATATTGAAACAAATACTTGATTCAAAATTGGGAGAAACCCAGTGTGGCTTTCTCCTCACCTCACCTTAAAATCTGCAGCTGCTTGTCTTAAATCACAGAATCATAGCATCAGTTGGGTTGGGAAAGTCCTCTGAGATAACTGAGTCCAAGCTATGACCTAAAACCACCATGTCAACCATGGCAGGAGCACAGATCACAGATAGTTGAGAAAACAACCAAAGAAAGAAATCCTCTGCTCTGATTTGCCCAGTCTCTGCATTCTAGAAGGGCTCTGGTTGGAAAGCCACATTTCCAGGTTCAGGATTCCCCTGAAAAGGCACCAAAGAGGCAATTGCAAAACTGTTTTCCAGGCTGGTACTCATAAACCCGCAGTGGAGTGTATTTCGTGGACAAAGCTGTGATGAGAGGGGATTGTTTGCTGCCAGACCACAGTTTCTCAGTAGCAGTGCTACAGCCCAGGGCTCTGAAATGGGAAAATTGAAACCAGCCAGGAGAAGGAGAGCAGTTCCCCCTTTTCTGTGTCCTCCTTGTGAACTCTTCTATGTTTTAACCATCAGGCCTTCACCCTGTTCATCTGGGGCACCTAAAACTGACAGGGTGTGGTTTGGGTTGGAAACATCTCCAGTCCTGGAGCACTTCAACTCATCTGAGCATTCTTAGGATGTTTGAGCTGCTCTGAAGTGGGTTGGAGACTGTGAGTGTTCCTTGTATTTTGAGCAGATCTCACAGAGCCCCTGGAGACAATCCCCAAGCTTTCAAAGAAATTAAGAAAAAAGCAGTGACTCTTTATCTTTGGGCAATTTTTTTTCTTTACTCCACCTTCCCTGCAGCACCAGTGGTGGTGAGAGACGCCCAGGGTGGCTTTGATTGACCTCACCCAGGTGCTGATAGCTGAGAACCTGTGCCAGCATGGGCTTCAAGGCTCTGAAAGCTCCTCCCAGACCTTGTGCAGGTGCCATGGCAGCTGATCCCTTTGAGGTCTCCTCCACAACAGCATCACTCTGATAATACCCAAAGTTCCCTTTGTCCATGGTAAAATGGGGCTTAAAACAATGCTTTAGTTTTGGGGGATGCGGTGAAAATAAGTGCATTAAAGCCTAAAAAATATCAGGGTTAGATATTAATATTATCTAAATTCATAATCCAGACATCCTAAATAGAGCTGGTTGTCTAGACTCATTTTATAACCAATTAAAGGAAATAGGTATTTTTCATCTGACCACAAATATCTGGCCTCTCTTGGACACCTGCTTTAGAAGGAGATGAATCATCCCCTTTGACCACACTGACTGGCTCCCTCTTGGTCAGGAGGAGGGGTATAGGTCAGTAGTTGAGGTGCAATGTGTATATTATGTTATTTATAGCCCCTCTTTGTAAAAAAATATGGTTTTGGTAAAGAAGGCCTTGGCTTGATGTAGAAGTTTTATGCAACAATGCTTCTTTCAAAGTTCACCAGATTTCAAATTGGCAGCAGAATGTCAGCATCCTTTCCAAATGTCATGAATACATCAGGCTTTGGCCTCTCCAGGAAGCTGGGTCCAGATTCCTCTCACCTAATTTTGTAGGCTTATTTATCTCCCTGGGTTGGGGGTCTGAATTGCTTTCCTCTCTACAGCAAGCAGATATCAATAAGAATATCCAGAAACTGGTCCAAATGCTTCATGCCAGGTTCTGACTTTGAGTCTTCTCTGCCAGGGATTTGGCAGGGATTTGGTTTATTTTAGGAGTATTTCAAGCCTTCCCTCCCACTGTGTTTGAGGTTTAGTGTTCCTTTCTCCTCTTTTTCTCTTGCTTATATATGTTTATATTTGAACCAGAGTTCTTGCGCTCTCTCTATGCTCCATGAAAAAAAAATAAATACACTTAAATTCAAGGTTCATCTGACCTGCTTGAGGATGACCTTCTGCTGATGTGGAGCAACTTCCAGTGCCTGCACGAGGTGCTCACAGGGCTGGTCAGGTGTGCCTGTGTTGCAGAACCAGTGCTTGATTAGATCCCTTGTGCTTCTTCACATACAATGGGGATGGGGCTCTCCAAGAATTCCATCAGGTCTTGGACAGTCCTTGGATGCACCATCCATCAGGTCCACCCATCCCAGTTGTGAATGTTTAGGCCTGTTTGAAATGCTCTGGGGTATTTAGGATGCCAGATGTGAGACATGAGGTGTGTAAAAGCCATGTTTTTTCCCCAAGTACCCGAGAGAATTTCAGTGAATTAAAAGCTGCTGTTCTCTCTGTTGGGGCGGACACGACATATGAAAGGACACACTACATTTCAGAAGGCTAAAATCCCATTTATTACAACAGCCAGCTGTCCTTTATACACTCTAAAAAGTTCACACTTTGTTCATTACATACAATAGATCATTCATTCATACAATAGACCAACATAACCTTCATTGGTGTAAAACCATCTCCACCTCTGTTTTTCACAAAACTTCTCTAAAAATACTTTCCTCAGCTGCAGGGTTTTTCTTGATTATCTTCTTCTCCTTCTTCTCTTCTCAATCTCCATACCAACGGCCTTGATAAAATGCCTTTCAGAATAACCCTTATTCATTAACCCTCTGTGGCTCACAGACCAGCTGTGAGCCCCCTACCATACTGTTCAGGCACCTGAGCCAGTCCCTGTGTGTTGCGGTGCCTCGGCAATGCTGTGACTCCTCTCAGCGCTCCCCAGCGTCCCTTTACAGAGGGAATTCTCCCTTGATGCTCTCTCCTGTGTTTCTCCCCAGGTCCGTTCTGCTGCCAGGAAGAGGTGGCACCGCTGGCAGGACCACCACTCGCTGCGGGTGCGCGTGGCACGAGCCATGTCCATCCCCACGTCCCCAACCCGGATCAGCTTCCACAGCATCAAACAGACCGCAGCCGTGTGACACCTCCCGCCTCCCACCACCACCCCGTGGCCTTCAGACTTCTCCTCTCTTCGCTCCCACACCCCAAAACCCCCTTCTGCAAACTCCTCCTCTGTCCCCACTGATCTCTTTTCAGTGAGGATCCCATCCTGTTTCGGCGGGCTCTCATCTCCCACATCCGTGATGCTGCTTTGAGGTGACCAGGAAAAAGCCTCTTGGAGTTGGTGGTGGTAAAACAGATTCAAAGAAAGGAGCAGGTTCAACCCTGACTGCATCCTGTGGAAGTTCACAGTGCAAAGTCTAAAACAGCACACTGGCAGGAATAATCAAATTTTTTCTCCTTCCTTTCATTTTTTTTGTTTTTATTCCCCCTTTCATACTGCGGTGAACAAAGACTATTTTTAACACACTGCCCATCTCCCCCTGTACATTGATTCCCAATGATTTCAACAGTTTGGTGTATAATAGCCCATCCCTTTCTTGTTTTCTTTGTAAAAAGTTTCTTCTCTGCAAAACTGTCATTTGAGAACTTGAGGCAGCAAGAAAAAGAGCGTCTGAAATGTGGTGTGAAAAGCCTGAATTTATCTGCCTTCCCCATTTCTCTCTTGGACAGACTGGGAATTGTCAGGGCGTCGCTGGACTGTTCCACACAGGGCACTTTGCCTGGCAAGCACCATGCCCTGCCCTTACACAGATTTTCAAAGGACAGGAGTAGCTCCAAGTAATTCTACAGAATACTCTCATTCCTCTTAGCCCCACGCTTCCAGCACAATGTAAAGCCTTTGGAAAGTGGTTTGTTGTTTTTTTTTTTTTTTCAGCTCAGAGGATCAGGGTGGGGAAGGACAACTTTTCTGGGTTTAAAAAACACAAAAGGGAAGCACTGTAAAGATAACCATGATGGGAAGAAGATGTTTGCCTTCTGAGGATAATGCTACGTGCTGCACAAAGTATCTATTGAGCATTTTGAACTAGAGCAGTTGTATCTACCAGGCTTTTTATGTGATGTTCAAAAATACTGTATATTTTCAATAATAAACACTACTCTGGGTTGGTTTCAATAAAACCAGGCATCGTTTTCTTTACTCTGGAAATGAAGAGGACACCTGTCTTGAGAGTGGTTTTGCAGCTGAGATCAGGGAAGGAAATCCTGTTTGATAATGAGCCAAGGAAGAAGAACAACCTTGTGATGAAATCCTACCGAGGGGGCATTTAAATGCAAGAAGAATTGCCTCCCTTCTCAGCTCATGGTCTTACACTGGACCCCTGTCCCTCTGTGCTCTCTCCACTGGGCTCTGCCACAGCTGTAAGAAAAATGTTGTGTTGTATGTTCTCCATCACCTGCATCTCAGCTGGAGTAATTTGCTCTTTCCACTTTTATCAAGCTTATTCTGAATTTTCTTCAGATGTTTTATAGGACTTTTCAGCACGAGCTCGATTAAAACCTCCAGATTTATGTTTGCTCTGTTTTTCAGGGGCTGGAAAATCTCTTGGAAAACACTGTTATAAATCCCCTGCTGGAGGGAGGGGGGTGGGGGGAATGTCTGTCCTGACAGCTCGGTCATATTCAACTTTGAGCTTGCTGGCAATGAACAGCGAATTTAAATAAACAACATTTTGTAACTTTTCCCTCTCCTAACTCATTTGGATTCATGTGCCTCAAAGAGATAACAGAGGGAGGAAGATTTGAGTGCCTGATGAGAGGACCAGGTAAGTGCTTTTATTCATCACAGTAGCAATGCACAGCCCCTGGCATCTTGTGTTTGAAGGGAGGGCTGCATCTGCAGGTTAGAAACGTGTACAATGAGCATCTCTGTGTTTGCTCTGGCTCTGGGCCATGCTGGGATGAAAAAGGGATTTGCAATGCAGCAGGTTCTGTCAGAAACTGCAGGTTATTGGTGCTGCCAGGAGTGTGGCAGACATCCAGACATGGAGCAGGTCTGAATAGAGAAGAAATTTGGCAGCTGAAGCAGTGAACTAATGGTTAACTCTGAGGTCCTTTAGAGTTTACCTCAGTAAACCACTGGAATATATCAGTGCCAGGGCACTAGCAAATATATTTGGGCACTCCTGAATTATATTTGTGCCAGTGTTTGGGGTTACTGCTGCAATGCCCCTAGTTTCACTTACAGTAATATTCACAGAACATTTAAGACCAATAACAGGTGAAGACAGTTAAATTCTGTGTCTTAGTAAGTCAGGTGGCTGATCTCCCACTGTGCCTGGTACCTGCCCAAGGAAGTTGTTCAGCTTGAAGAAAATAAAAATAACCTTTTTGACTCTGCAAGCTCTCCTCCAGAGGACTTTGGAAGAACACAGTTCACTTTCCTGACAGCAGTGGTGCTGCTCCTGTCTTTGCTGCACTGTCTGGTACCACAGGTGGAGAGCTAACATCTGTCACCAACAGCATTTGGTACATCCAAGCTGGGATGAAAAAATGCTCACCTTGCCTGGGAACAGCAGCCAGAGTAGCTGCTGATGCCATCCCAAGGCATAGGGCTGCTCAGAAAAGGATTCATTTGAGTTTAGCTCATTGGAAATCAGCCCAGGAGAAAAACACCTGGGAGCAAAACAGATAAGCAAGAACTTCCATTTTCCCTGGACAGCCCTTGATAAAAATGCTGGAGGTGAGCCACACACCCTCATGTCAGGAAAACATTTCTGAATTTGCACTGAGTGATGTTCACCTTGGCTTTTAACAGTGAATTAATGGGTTTGATGTTTATCCAGGATACCTGTGAGCAGAGCTACTGAGACATTCCCCAGATGTCTTGGGCAGCAAAGGGGAGTTTCTTGGCCACGTGTGCCCTCTCCTGAAGGTGAGGACTTGGCTAAAGAACAACATCAGCCAGGAAAAAGCAGCCAGGAAAAAGGCTGTGGAGAAGCAGCCAGGGAGCTCATGGATGCTGAAACCAACCCAAACCAGGCATGAGACCAGGCAGCAAAGGTCTGGGATGTTTTGAGGGAATTATTCCCTCTACTTTGCAGTCCTTAGACCAGAGCCAGCTGCTGTGCCCAGTTTGGTGACCCCATACAGAAGATGGTAATAAACTAAAGCAAAATCAGCCACAGGGACACCAAGATGCTCAGGCCTGGAGCACTCTCCATGTGCAGAGATGCAAGAGGACCCGTTCCACAACAAAGAATTTTGGATGGAGCTAACAACAGCCTGCCAGCACCTCAAGGTTCTGACAGACCCAAGCCCTTCACAGTGGTTTGAGGCAGGACAACAGGCAAACTGTAACAAAAAAGGGCCAGATAAGATACAAGGAGAAAGTTTTTCCTGATAAAGACAGTTCAAGAGTGGGAGAGGTTTCGCAGTGAGGGTGGGAAAATCTTCAGAGATTTTTTTCAAGACCCAAATGGATAAAGCAGCATTCTGAGCCTGCTGTGAGTAGGGGATTTGGACTGGAGACCTCCTGAGGTGTCTTACAACCTGGATTATCCCATCATCCTGGTACTGATACTGCCACTCATGCCTCTAAGACAAGGGAAGAACGAACATGATCAAGGTTTGGCTTCTGCCTTTTTTTCACGTGCACATTAGGGGTTTTAGAAACATGCTCATGTCTCCTCTCTTCAAAAGAAGCTTCTTCCTTTGCTGTCTCCTGGCAGGAAGGCGAAGATGAATAAAGTCACATCTCTTTAGGGAAAACTCTCCTCTTTACTTCTAAATGATGCTTTTTAAAGCTGTATGTCCCTTTCAACAAAATAATCATTTATGGCACAAGTCTGGGATGATTCAGATACAGCTTTTGGATCAGCAGGAGCAGTCTCAGCTCAGCTGTGCCAGGAAAATGGTGGTGGATCTGTTGGACTGACAGCACCTGTGCACGTGTGTGTCTGTGTGAGTGTTTATGCACACCTGTGTCCATGACCTCTTGTGCATTTGAAGAAAACGGATCAAATTATTCTGGATTTATAACTTACTGTGTAGGAGAAAAACAAAGCTGCTTGTGTTCAGTGAGTCATTATGGAAATGAACGACTATGAGCACTCAAGTGCTTGAAACAAGACTCTCCAAAGCTCTTCCAGGAAAATGTTTGCAGTGCTGAGCACTGCAGACCACACATGTGCCAACTGGCGTGGGGCAGCAAATGTAAGCTGACTTTGGATATGGGCTAATTGCTTCCCTCTGACACGATTTAAATATTTTTTTTTCCCCCTTCTCCTTTGCAATAAATCCCCAGTCCCAGCCTGCAGTGGGGACAGCTGTGCAGCAGTTACTGGGATGCAGTAGTTTAGGATTGGGTTTGGGTGGGATTGGGATTGGGATTGGTTCATACCCTGAGCACGGGATATGGAATACACAGCTCCAGCTTCCAGCAGAGCCTCACAGCCCTGGGGATGTGCCCTGCACTGAGAGGAGGTCGTGTGCTCAGGCACAGGGGTCTGGGGGGGGAGGAAAATGTGTTCAGAATGCTGGGATGGAGTCAGTCAGGACAGTGTGGAGCAGGAGGCTGGGCAGAGAGGAGTTGGGAAAGGACAGAGCCATGCTCTGACCACCCTGGTCTCTGGTCAGACTCTTTATTTCATTGGTACCTACTCCTGCAGACAGCCACCACAAGGCTCTTCTCTTGGTCCATGGGAGAAAAAAAAGCAATTTTGGGATTACAGTCCTCTCAGTACTGAGTATTCCTATATGGAAAGGATATTGTAGATTCATGAGTGTGAAGGTTCCACATAAATCCTTCAAATTTTCATCGATTAATTCACTTTATTCCTTTTCTCATGTTTGTCTTCCACAGAGATGGAAGAAACATCTCTGGAGAAACTTTTGGAAAAGAGATAATACCTATAAATTTACTGATGCTAAAATATATAGTTAAAACAAAAACCTGGAACACCTGGATAATCCTGTTGGGTTCTACATTGGTTTCTTAAGTTTCTCCACTTGCTAATTAGCGTAGGAGAAAGAAAATCCTTCTGGTTGCTGTAATTACCACAGAGCAGTGCTGTAGTGACCTTGTGCTCTGAGGGGCTGAAGGTTTACAGCAGAACTCCTCAAACTTTAATGAGTTTCCCAGATGCTGAGGAGCCGTCCAGGAGGGCTGTGTGTGCTCAGCACTGCCCAAAGGCTGGGCAATGACCCTCCTGACACATCTCCCCTCTGCACTCAAGGGCTCCTGTCAGAGGCTGAACCAATTAATGGCACTGATTGGCATGTGTCAAACGAGTGATTCCATCTGCTGAGGAGGGAAAATGACAAATTACCAGTGTCAGGAAAATTAATCCACAAACGCCAGAGGTTTATGTCCAAAAAGGAGACAGAAGAGTCCTTTTACTTTAATATAGAGAAAGGTCACGGGGCATTCCCTTGGGATCTCTCAGATTTTTGGAAGATGCAGCCTCCTTTTTATCCCAATTTCCCAGCCACATTTCCCTCTCTCTTTCCCCTTGGGCTGAGGTATTTGAGAAGTACAGACTTCCCAGAACACCTGATACCTAAGATTCTCCTCTAATGTATAACCCTCCCTTTTAATTTTTAATTCTTACAGAATTCATGGTTTTCCCCCATTGCTTCTTTCATCTTTCAATATCCAATTTCATTTATCAGCAGCCCTACAGTTTGTTTGTAAAGGCAAATATCTTTTTTCCATTCATCAATCAGTGGAATCCATCCCATTGTTTCTTTTAACTTTCAGTGCTGGTCTTACCTACCAGCAGATCCACAGCTTGTTTGTAAAGACAAATTGGGCATTCCTCTCACAATGCTGCTGGCAAGGTCACAAGCAGCACCAGCACCCTGCAGAGGGTGTCCTCAGGGTCCAGCAGGGTTGTGTTCATTCCTGGCACAGTGCTAATGAGCTGCCCATGCAGGCTGAGCAGGGAATAGTGGTTAACCTGGCTCATCACAATCCTGGCCAGCCTAAAAAATCACTAACACAGTAGAAATCCTGCATGTCCCTCGGCTGGCTTGCCCTGGATTTGGTGGTTGACTCATTTTGACCTTTGCTGGTTGCTGACTTCCAGCCCAGCAGTTCAGCCAGAGGCCAATGGATCAGCAGCCCTGACAGCACAGGGATCCTGGCACAGCAGGGATCCCCTCGAGCTGGGAATAGGGATTGCTGCTTCCTAGCAGGACAGAAAAGCTGACTCTGTACAGGGCACAAGGGTAGCCCAGCTGCTTGTGGGGCAGGTCTGAGGCTGCCATGGTTTTGTCTCCCTGCAAACCTCCTTGTCCAGCAGCCAGGCAGGGATTGGCCTCAGTTCTGTAAATCACTGGAAAATTTGGGTTGGAAGGGACTTTTAAAGGTGATCTGGTCCAACCCCTTGCACTGAGCAGGGATATCTTCAACCAGGGCAGGTTGGTCAGAGCCCTGAGCAGGTACCTGTGCTCAGGTACTTCAGAAAAGTCATGAAGTCTAAGGATTAAAGAATCCTTCTCTTTAGCAAAAGGATTGTATAAGCTTTTGGAGGAAAAAAAAACCCAAACACTAATCATAGAGTCTATAATCATAAAATTACCCCTTTGGGGTGCACACTTCCCTCAGTGCCTGCCCACAGAGCAGCTCTTTTTGCAATGTGCAACACCAAAATGCATAAAACCCCATAACAAACTGACAGGTTTGCACAACTTAATCCACACCTGAAACCTGCTGTACCCATGGATTTTTGTTGAAAATATGTAAGACTCAGTTGACTTTATAAATACCCTCACATGTGCTTGTGTGTTTTTCAGGGTATGTGAACTTCTTTATTTCTGACAGATCTGCAAATATCATAAATCCATCGAATCACAGAATGGTGTGGGTTGGAAGGGGCCTTATAGATCATCTCATTCCAACCCCTGCCATGGGCAGGGACACCTTCCACTAGAAGGAAGATATTCAGAGCTGAGTTTGGAGTAGGAAAGTGATGTTTTCACTGGTCCTGAGGTCCATCCTGTGCATGAAGGTGCATTGTCTGCCCAAAGTACCTAAGTTTGCTTGAGGTTTTTGTTTCAGCTTTGCTGATGGGCATTTTCTCCTTTTAATAAAATTACTCATTTTGCAAGTTTTACACACTCACTGAGAAAAATCTGTGCCCAGCAGTATTCCCCCACATTTATGCTGTGCTCCAGACTCACTTCCACCTTGTTAACAGCAGCTGCCTTTCTCATCCTCATGGTTTCCCCTTCTTGGTGTGCACAGGCTTTCAATATGTGCACATATTTGCTTTGCTCAGCACTGACAAGCATTGGGAAGCTGCTTGCAAAGCAGAAAAAGAAAAAAAAGAGAAAAAAGTTGCATAAAAACATCTTCTCAGAGCTGCCAACATCATAAATCTTTAGGAACCATGCAGTCCCCTCTCCTGCCGAACTCATAAAGGCAGGGATGTAAAACCAAACAGCTCCAATCTGCAGCCTCTCCCAACTTGCTGTGCTCCCAGGGATTGGGAGGAAAGCCTGGAGCCTGTGCAGCCCCACAGCTCATCGTGTGCCTCCTTCCATAAATCAGCCCTCCCACAGGTTCTGCAGTGACAGGAGCTCCCAGCCACGAGGTGTTTGTGGTTCGTGCTGGGCTCCTTGTGAAATGATTGCAGCAGCCCCATCTGCAGCACCAAGCTGGAATGCTGGGCAGTCAGAGTCAATTAAAAACCAGACCCATCAGAGCTCCTGGTCCCTGCTTCAGCAAGTGGGGATCACATGGTTTTTTCCCTGTCACTGACACATCAGCATCTTTTTGGGTGGTGTTACTCATCAGTCGTTCATAAATGAATCAACAACCTGAACAATCAAACTGTCTCAGCTGGGTTATTTTACTGTTCACAGACAGTTTTATTGGCACAACAGCGTGTGTACCACTGGAGCAGGCACATAGAGCCCATCTGTGTCATGCTGAAATGAGGATATTTTGTTTGCCAGGACCAGATTTAATATCTGTATCCAGAATTACGTGGCAGACTCACCTCAAACCCTGCAGAGATGCCACGTGTGTTGCCACACAGGGAGAATTTGCTGTGGGGGATTCAAAACAGGCTTTCAAAAGGTGGGGGTTTCCCAAATATCTTTTTGCTTTATGACAACTCCACAGGATTCCTGTCCCAAGCTAAGGGGCAATCTCAAATCTGCTGCAGGAGAAGGTCCCAACACCTCAATTCCTGCCTCTCTCCAAGGGCAGGTGAAGCTCCCACCTCTCCATCATGATTCACCTCACTGAGAAGGACAGCCAGGGTGAGGTATCCCCATGTGTGTTTTCTACAGCCCCTGTTTTCTGGTAGGATTAAGCTGAGAGGGCTAAAAAAATAATTAGGGACAGCAAAAGCTATAAAAATAATAGTAATGCACACAAAGTGCCAAGGAAAACATTCCCAAGTCACAGCACAGTTTTTCACAGCAGAACTGCTGGTCTTGGCTGGAGAGCTGAAGGAAGAAAAGTCCATCCAAAGCAGCTCTGAGGCTTTCCTGACTCAGCTTTGGGACTGGGATGTGCCATCACCCCTGGAGCAGGCACGTGGCTGGTAGGCAGGCTGGAAGGAAATCCCTGCTGTGCTGAAGGAATGGGAGCAGCCAGATCCCATCCCCAGCAGCCCTGGGACACCTCAGCCCTGTGAGCAATGTGTGGGTGAGGGATGGCTCCTGTCTGCCCAGCCAGGGGAGCCTGCAGAGCTTGCACACGTGGAGAACATCTTCTGTGAGGAAAGGGTGGGGGAATTGTTCAGCCTGGAGATGTCTCTGGAGAGACCTGACTGCAGCCTTTCAGCTCCTAGAGGGGCTACAAGAATCCCAGACAGGGACTTTTGACATGGTAGGGACAGAAGGAGAGGGAATGGCTTCAAACTGGCAGAGGGCAGGGTTAGATTGGATATTGGGAAGAAATCCTTCCCTGTGAGGGTGGTGAACCCTGGCACAGGGTGCCCAGAGAAGCTGTGGCTGCCCCTGGATCCCTGGAAGTGTCCAAGGCCAGGCTGGACAGGGCTTGGAGAAGTCTGGGATAGTGGAAGGACCTGCCCATGGCAGAAAATCTGGATGTGGTTTTAATACCCTTTTTAAGTACCCTTTTACATATAAGATCCCCTGGCTCACCAGAGAAATTTTACCATTTTTCCACATGTTGCAGAAGAGATCTTGTAGTTTTCAGTGAATTTAATTGCTTCCTTCATGAACAAGAAGGTAAACAAAGCAGGGTTTCACATGATGCCAAGCATGATTTATCTCCAATCTTTTGTAGGGGATTATTAGCTAATTCAGACAGAGCTTGGATCAGGAGTCATTACGGGCTCATGTTTTTCCAGCATAAATTCACTGTAAGTAAAGAAAAATTAGCTGCTCACATTAGTGCTCAGCATAAAATTAAAAGGGAATTATTCAAGGTTTGACATGAATTAGTAAATGCACAAGCAGTGACATTCTAGAATCAGACACAGGAAAGTTAAAAACCTCTCTTCTTCCTTTTTCACAGATGCATATTTTATTTGTAGCATTTTGGAGAAATCAGTGATTTTAACTGCCTCATGGCCATTTTGTACTTGTCTAATTCCACAACAACAGTCAGGGAGCTTTCAGCAAGTGCCCAAATCTGAGATGGAAAAATCTAGGATCCTCACATCCCTGTATATATTTTTTCCAGATTTTTTTTCCTTTCTCTACTGATCAAGAATATATGATTAAATAGCTCTATATAATCGATCTATCAACAGGTTTTAGACTATAATAATCTACCCAGAGAAGTTCAAGGCCAGGTTGGACAGGGCTTGGAGCAACCTGGATAGTTGAAGGATCTGCCCATGGCAGGGGGTGGAACTGGTCGATCTTTGAGGTCCTCCCAACCCAAACCATTCCATGATTCCTTGGCAGTGATGAAAGAGGCATTAATTGAAATAACACTTTCCACACTTGTTTTCTTTGTGCTGTTCCTGGCAGAGGGGGTGCAGGTAGCAGTGTTTGATTTTTAAGCAGCCTAAAAGCTCTTCCATCCCCTGAGGCTGGGAGCAGCCTGGGTGAGAATTGTTGAGTTTTTGCAGGAAGTCCATACTAGGGTTTGAACAATGTTTGCTTTTCCAGAAAGCTGTACCCTTGTTATGGAAAGTTCTCCTTTGCCAAAAGTTAACCCCTGGATGAGATCTCAGACATTTTCCTCCAGTCCTTGTTCTTAGCTCATGGGAGAGATCAGAAATTTGGACACTTGAGATAAAAACTGTGAATGTTCTCAACCAGCTTTTATTCAGACCTTTCCACTCTCAGGCATCACTTTGTGGTTGAACCACACCAAACCCAAATCATTCCAGGCTGATGGCAGAATCATTCCTGCTGCCACAAAAGGTGGATTTCACTCTAAGACACTTCAGTAGAGAGAAAATAAAACTTAAAATCCTTTCCTTTCCGTGGCTACAGCAGCTCTGTCTGTCAAGAGTTCACTGGAAATCTGTCATTGCCTCATAGCACAAATGAGCTTCACCAGGGCCATCTCAAAGGGAGGGAAAAAGTGAAAGAAAACATTTTGCAAGTTCATGAACTTGTTGGAAAAAGAAATTTCATTCTGATGTTAGTCTTCTAAATTTTTATCACTTTTATCTTCTAAACTTCTATCACTTTTAATGAATATTAATCCAGACTTTGGAACCAAGAATGATTTTCAAGATTAAAAAAACAAAAAAACATGCAAAAATGGGCAATGTCAGGAATGTTACAACAAATTAACTTTTGGTGTTAATAGCTTTTATCCCTTGAGAGTTTTCACAACTAATGAGTTCCATCAGTCAACTCTTCTTTCAAGTGCTTGCTGCTTTCTAGAGTTTGATCAGAAAATTCAAGGTCTCCTTTTTAATCCGTGGTTACTCTGTAATTTAGCCCTGTCTTAATTTAAACCTTGGCCGGGAGAATTTGGTTAACATTGAAATAAAACCCTAAATAAATTTGAAGTGCAGATCTTTCTGTCTTGATTCAAAAAGTCTTAGTGCCACCCCCCAAGTGCCGTGATTTCATCTTTCTTTTTGTCCTTTATGGATAGAATAAACTAAAATCAGTCACTTTAGCCCCATTTTGTGTTATTTTTGGACGTGGCCAATGGTACAATGAGGACACATCCTCTGGTGCTGGATAAAAGGATTGATCCCAGCTCATGTGGGATGTCCATGATGCAGAAATGAATCTTTGAGCTTCTTGCTCAGTAAAAGGGAGAGGAGCAGGCACTGTGAGGCCACAACTCACCTGTCCTCTCACAGGCACAGGTGAGATGAATTCCCCTTTTATCCCTCAGCACAGAAATGATCCACATTCTGAACCTGCTTAAACCCACCTGGATTATTTCACTGGGGTCTCACTTCACTTTTATTTTGGTCCAATGTGATGATGATGAATCACATCTATTGTTTTCCATGGAGCTCCTTTTGGATCCAGAGTGGTGTAGGTGGAGGAGAAAACTGCTAATGATATCATTATCATCCTTTTAGGGGAAATCAGCTCCTGAATCAGACTGTCACTTCAAAATTCATTCTGCCAACTTGAACATTGCAATATTTATTTCATGCAGAAATTCTACACGGGGAAAAGTAGATAGAGAAAAAAAGTATTTTAGAAATCTGTCCTCAATGGAAACAATAGGGATAAAGCAACCAGTAACTAAAAAGAGAGAAGAAATCCCTCCTCCTGGAGGGTTAGATGGTAAGAAATTAAATAGATAGAATACAAATGAAAATACTCAGAATCTTCATTATCTGTAGTTTCTTTTCCATTCACTTTCAGAAGAAGCAGCCAAGGAATACCTCAGGAGATCCTAAAGGACAGGAGGTGCCTGAGTGCTGCTAAGGGAATGAGACCCTTGGGCAGTGCCTGGGACCATTCCCAGTGGGAAACAGGCCTTTCCCAACTGTAACAGGAGCTGAAAGTCCCCACCAGAGGCAAATGTCACTCTCATAATTACTCTTCACTCCAACAGTTTTACTCCATTAAAACCCCAGTGAGTCCTGCTGTGTTGAAAACCAGTTCTACAGAGATGGGGCAACAGAGAGGTGCTTTTTAAAAGATTTTATTCTATTATTAGTCTCATTGAAGGGTGAAAGATAAGAGATATAAAACTCTATGTTATTCTATCAGAAGCCAATTTATTCTATGGTTGCAATAGCTTATAAATGTTTTTCAGCCTTTTAGGTTTTGCCACACAATGGTGCTAATACTTCTAACAGCAATAACCTCTTATTTTGCCCCACGTGGTCTTCTACAATGCATCTTTCACAGTTCTAATTCTCAAAAAATATCTGATCTTTTTGCAAGGCCATAGTTTGAAACTTGTTTCTAGTTCTATCTCTCTCTCAGCAATGTCTTCTCTATTCCATGACCTTTCTAAGTCAGCACACATTATCTCAAAGTTTACATACAAATACACAAAACTGGATAAGCTTTCAGCCAAGCTTTAAAAATTCTTAACAAATCTATTTCTCACGCTGCTGCTCTGATTTATATCAGTATTTACCCCAAACATTCCCTGAGCACCCACAGGATTATTTCTAAATATCTCTGGTGTGAACCATGGGGGAATTTGGTTGTGGAATCAGCTCTGATTTGAAGGGCATAGAGGACTAGAGTGAAATCTAGCACAAGAAATGCTCACTCTGTCCTTTTTTTGTACTTCCACCCCATGCTCCAGTAAAACAAAGCAATTCAGTGCTTTCTTGGAGCTCCCTTATTTACGTGGCTACATATCCATCTCCCTGGGGCACCAAAGAAACACAGAGCACACAGCTCTCCCCTACAGGGATAAGAAAATCCCAGGTTGGACAGGGCTTGGATCAACCTGGGACTGGGGGAGGTGTCCCTTCCCATGGCAGGGGGTGGAATGGATGTTCTTTAAGGTCTCTTTCAACCCAAACCATTCTGGAATTCCAGGATTTGAAATGTTCCTGGTGAGGCCATGGAGATGGAGGTACCACTGCAGGAATTCCTCTCTGCACAGTTCCTTCTCCTGGCCTGGAAGAGACAAAGCATAACACAAGTGAGCACAAGAGCAATTCAAGCACCACTTATTTTTTAATTTTTTTTTTTTTTTTTTTGTAAGAAAGAAGCAACAGAGTGTGGAGTGAAGCCAAATTAAAGAAGAAATCCGAACAAAGAGGTGACCTTGTATTTCATCTCTGATTAATGCAGGTTATTTATTGTGAATAGCACCACTAGAGATTGTACCTTGTGCTTAAGGCACTTTTCTGTCTATAAATAGACAGTGCTCGAGGCTGTTTGAAAATATATATAAAAAATGAAGAAATAAAACATCCCAGGACATCATGTTTTGGACAGATTAATCCAAGGACGACTTCCACTGGAACTGAGGTCATAGAAGAGAAAGTACACTGAGATTTAGAGGTGTGTCCTGCTTCATCCCAGGATACTGAGATTTCTGGTGTCTTACTGGAGAAAAGCAGTGTCTGTGGAGGGATCTGAGATGATCTCTACATTGCAGATGACTTATCTTGAGCTGAATTCCCTCCTGGGACTCGTTGGATCTGAAATACCCCAGGGTACTGGAGACCTTCATGGAGCTGGGAGACAGGACAGGTAAAGCCAGCTGGAATGACCCAGGTGGGTTCCCTGGGCACAGAATTATCAAATTATAGAATAATTGAGGTTCAAAAAACCTGTCAGTGTCAGATCTACTGCTAAACCGTGTCCTTAAAGCCCTCCAATAGCAGGAGATGCTGTCTGGGCATCAGAACCAGGACTTCTGTGTCCGTGCAGTAAATGTTCTCAGTCTCCTCCACGTGGCATTTTCCTTTCCCTCTTAGCCCCAAAGAGGCAAAATCTGACAGGATCTGTGATCTTCGGTGATTTGTCATTGTCCCCAAGCAGCTTTGACATGGCTCTCCAAGGAGAGGGAGCTGTGCTGTTTCCCAAGTGTGGCCGATGGATTTCGGGGACCCGTTTCTGTCTGGATGAGGCACTCACTGCTTTGGACTGTCACAGGAACTTTAAATAGTAACGAGCTGCATTCCCTGGGAATGGAGGGCATTTGGTGTGGAAACACTGAAACACAGAGTCTGAGCAAGGCTGATCTCCTCCAGAGTCACCTTTCCCCCCTTTCCCACACCAATTTTGCCCGTGCAATGTAAAACCACGGCAGTTTGGGAGTGTCTGTTCCACTTCCCAGCCCCTGCTCTCACAGAGAGAAATTATTTCTGTGTGAGAAGGAGGTAGGGGAGGTGAGCTCACATTAAGGTATTCATTATCTGGAGAAAACATGGCACTTTTACTCGGGAGAAAACCAGAAAAAAAATAGAAGTAACAAAATTAATAATAATAATAATAGTATAGTAAAAAATAAAAAAAGTCTCACTGAGATAATCCAGTCCTGGAGACAAGGCACACCAAGCCATGGGGTGAAGCATGACACTTTAAAATAAACACGGTATTAGAGAGAGAGAAATCTGCAAACAAATTTTAAAATATTTCATTTAGAGC